AATCGCTGCGAACACTAAGGTTTTGGAAGGATTTCGTCTTGCGCGCGCGAATGTCCACTTTACCTTATTTTTTGCAAGGGATTCTTGAAATTTGATTATATTAGAACAAGAAATGTCATTTTCTATTGTTTTTTGCAAGGGAAAGCGGATTACAACAAAACAACCGGATCCTGTACACACCCTCTTTTCTGAGGCTTCCTCACGAAAATGATGAAAATGTAGCTGCGGCCTAGGCGGCGCAGGGGGGGCGCGCACCAGGGGGCCCAACAATAATTATTCTTTAGAATAAATAATGTTCAACAACAATAATATCAGGGCGGTCATGAAGGACGCGCGCCCTGCGCTCGCCTTGCCCGCCTTGACCACCAGTAGTCAAGGCGGGTCATAAGGACGCGTTGCCCAGACACCCCCCTCCCCCAGCAACCCAGCAACTCCAACCAGACAAAAAAAACGATTCTCTCCGTAAGACCTCCGGAGGCCTATGTGCCTTCGTTGCCAATCGTCTCGCATTACGCCCCTGTCGAGATTGACCCGCTCCCTGGAGCCGTCCTTGGAGCCGCAGATCAAAAAAGTAAGACCTCTGGAGGAAGACCAAGGCGGAGACCGATGTCTTCCCCAGCGGAACTCCTTTTCCTACGCCACCTTAGACAAGGATCCTGATAAGGATCCCCTCCTACGCTACCTTGGACCAGAATCCGAATAAGCATTCCCTTCACAAGGACCCCGTAGTAAGGGATCCTTACTCAATGCCCCTTCATTAAGATCCCCTTGATAAGGATCCCTGGGTAAGATCCCTTGAAGAAAATTCCTCAGCACAACCTCCTTACGAAAGATTCCGTAGTAAGGGCTCATGTGCAAAATTCCGTACTAAGAATTCCACAACAAGGATTCCCTGATAAGGACTCCTTACAACGGACTCTTTAATAAGGATTCCTGCATAAGGACTCCTTTGACAAGGACTCCTTAGTAAGGATTCTTTATCGAGAAATCATTAACAGAGATTCCTTTTGCAAAGATTCCTTATTAAGGCTTCCTTACTGAGGACTCCATCCTCAAGATCCCTGACTGAGGATTCCTCTGTTAGGATTCCTGGGTAAGGGTTCTGTACTCAGCATTCCTTAGTGAGGAATCTGTACTAAGAACTTATTCGTAGAGATTCTGTAATACGAAATCCTTAATACGGGCTCTTTACCAAGAACTCCTCAATACGGATTCCTTGGCGAGGATTCCTCAGTAAGGACCCCTTTCGTTAGGACTCCTTACTCTGGATTTCTAAAAAGGATTCCCTAAGAAGGATTCCCTAATAGGGCTTCCCGACTGAAGATTCCTTAATTTGGATTCCCTTAATAAGGATTCCTCAATCAGGATTCCTTACTAAGGCTGCCTCACAAAAAATCCTTAGTAAAGATTCCTTGTGAAAGTTTCCATTATCAAAATTCATTACTAAGAACTCCTGACTACTTAATCCCCAATAGAAAAAACCTGCACTACGGAATCCTTAGCAAGGGGTCCTTACGCAGTAATTCTCAATAAAGAACCCTTACTAAAACGTCATTAGTAAGGAGTCCTTAGTAAGGAATCCTTGCGAAGGAATCTGTACCAAGGACTCGTTAGCAAGGAACCCATAGGTGGCCCAAAGACGGCCACGGATAGCCAAACAACGCCCAAGACGGCCCTAAAACGGCGTCCTTTATGACAGCGCAACAGGGCCCAAGACCGGCCGTGACGCCGTCAGTGGGACCCCCAATACTGTTTCACCGGAGGCCGGCCAACACAGCCCAAAGGCAACTTACACGATATCCATGTGATCCCCATGGTAAGGAAGGCGAACGGTGTCCTGTGTGACGGTATTCCTCCTCCTCCTCCTCCTCCTCCTCCTCCTCATCGCTCCCATCATCATCAACTTATCACCCTCAGCAGAAGCATCAGCAGCCTGATAGCCATTATCACCAACGCCCTATCCCCCTTCATCATACACACCCTCATCATAATCAATACAATCGCCATCACCACCCCCATCAACATCATCTTCATCAGCACCATTATCACAATCATCACCCGCATCATCGTCGCAATCATTACCCCCATCATCCCCATCATCAACACCATCATCAACATTCCCATGATCCTCAGCACCACCATCCCCATCGTCGTCAGCAGCACAATCCCCATCATCAGCATCATCATCATCACCGTAAGTAGCATCATGATCATCATCCTCATCATCACCATCATCGCCATCACCCTCATCGCCATCATCATCACCATCATCATCACCACCATCATCACCCCTGCTTCCCAAACAACCCCCATCATCCTCACCACGGCTCCCGCTAGCCTGGAGGAACGAGATGTCACGAGCGCCGGCCTCCCGCGCCCCTCAGACAGTCGCAACCCAGAGTGCCGGGGCGGCACCGTGGCGGGACTTGCCGAAGACGGCTGAATATCCTCGATCCTCCTCTTCCTCGCCTCTTCCTCCTCTTCATCATCATCACTCCCGTCACCATCGCCATCACCACCATCAGCAGAAGCATCAGCAGCATGATAGCCATCATCACCAACGCCCCATCCCTCCTCTTCTTCATACACGCCCTCAGCATGATCAAAACAACCACCATCAACAACATGATCAACATCATCATCAGGAATCCTCAGGAACTCGAAGGGAATCCTCAGGAACTCGAAGGGAATCCTCAGGAACCCCAAAGGGAATCCTCTGGAAACTTCAGAGAATCCCAACGAAACCCTGAGGATCAGTAATCGTGAGGACCCCCAAGCAATGATCGAGGTCCTCAAAAGAAAACTCGGGAATCTCTGGGTAACCCCTAGGAGACCCAAAGGATTCCTCAGGGCCCCCGAAAGGACCCTGAGGAATCCGGAGGAATCACAAGAGAATCCTCGGGAATCCTTCGGGTGTTCCTCGGAAATCCTTTGGAATTCTAAGGCTTCCCGAAGCAATCTTCAGGACCCCCTCGGGAATCCGCAGGTTGCTGGGTTGCTGGGGGGGGTAGGGCCACCCTCAAAACCGCCTTGTCCAACAACAAGAATAATCATTTTAAGACTGTTCGCTCCTATCTGCTCACGTGCTAATCAATGCGTGTATCCCAAACCCTCGGTACCCGCCTTCGTCGTCTTCGATCGTACCCCCTTGGGGGTGTATCTTCCTTACCTGCCACGTGTATTTAGTGCAGAGAATAATGGAGCACTAGAGAAATCAGCGGGAGGGGGGCAAGGAGCAGGAAACAAGTGGTAGAACCAGACAGGCAGATCGGGTGGGCAGACCCATAGCGGGCAGGTCGGGAAGGCGGGCCCAGGCGACGAGGTCGAGCAGGCGGGTTGCTGAAGCGTGGGTCCTGCATGAATCGCGAGGAAGTCTCGGGCGATAGCGCGATTCCTGAGTAAATCGTAAGAAAAGCCAGCGTGGGCCACGAATGGCATAAAATCCAAGGCCACAGAGGGCAGCGACGGGGCCGCTGAGGGCAGCACCGGGGCCACGAAGGGCAGCGAGGGGGCCACAAACGAAGGGCATGCATATGGGGCCACGACGGGCGCGAGCGAGCGGGGGCCACGAAGAGCATTCGTATACGGGGCCACAAAGGGCGACATCGGGGCCACTGAGGACAGCAAAGGGGCCACGAAGGGCAGCGAGGGGGCCACGAAGGGCGACAGCGGGGCTACGAAGGGCATGCGTATGGGGCCACGACGGGCGCGTGCGAGCGGGGGCCGCGAAGGGCATATAATGAGGGGCCACAAAGGGCAGCGACGGAGCCACTGAGGGCAGCAACGGGGCCACGAAGGGCAGCGAGCGAAGGCGACCGCGGAACCAGTACGGGCAGCGAGGGGCATCGAAGGCGGGCGAGGGGCAGCGAGCGGCGACTGCAGTCATTAACAGGCTGGTCGGGCGGGCAGGCCCCGACGGGCTGGTCGAGCGGGCGGGCCGTTGAAGCGTGAGTCCTGCTTCAACCGCCAGGCAGTATGTAGCGGGAGCGCGATTCCTGAGTGTCGAAGACAAGCATCTGAATCAATTGTGAGGAAATATCAAGCGAAGCGGTTTGGTGGTAAGTTGTGAGGAAGTCCCAAGCGAGAGCGCGACCCTGCAATAAATTGTCAAGAAGTATCAAGCTGGAGCCGCGATTCGGTGGTAAATTGCCAGGAGGTCACAAGCGAGTACGCGATTCTTCAATCAACTGTGGGGAAGTATCAGGCGGGAGCCGTTGTTGTTGTTGTTGTTGCTGTTGCTGTTGCTGTTGCTGTTGCTGTTGTTGTTGTTGTTGTTGTTGTTGTTGTAAGCCAAGGGCCAACGACACAATTTGAGCCTCAAGACTTTCCCGGATAAAAAACAGGGTGCGAGCCCCGGGAAGGGCACTTCAATTGAAAAATACAATGTGCACCAGGCGGGGGATCAACAATAATTGTTTTCCAAAAATGAAAGCTCATCAACAATACGCACCGGAGAATCTCACTTCACCCACGCGCCCAGAACCAATGACTGACCGTTCGGCCCCCTCCCTCTGACTAACCCGGTGCAATCCAAGCCCGGGTCATCCGCAGAACTCTGGGTCAATCCAAACCCTGGTCATCTGCAGAAGCCTGGGTCATCTGACAAACCCGGGTCAATCCAATCCCAGGCCAGTCGAACTTTTTGCAGAATCCTGCAAAATTCTGCAGGATCCTGCACCCTGGCCCGGGTCAATGCACCCCTGGCCCTGCAGGATCCTGCAATATTAGCCAATCTTAGCAGAAGAAAAACACCACGTCAACATAAACTTTTGGCGCTCCGCGCGGATTTCTTGGATCCGCGCCGGGCCGCGCAGCGCGCCAGGGGCGGCGCCGGAGTCGCCGCCCAGATCCAAGAAATCCGCGCGGAGCGCCAAAAGTTTATGCCAATGTGGCACGAGTGCTCGCTATTTTTGTCCCGAGGCCTGTCATGGCACCCGCGGGCCCGCCGACGAGCGGGTGCCCGCCCGGACCACCCCCCCCCGTGCCCAGCGGCCGGGGGCCTTGCGGGAGCTGTGGGTGAACGTCTCGGGCCTCTCCGTCAGGTTCGGCGCCGCCTGCCGAGGTGCCCAGGGGGGAGGGGGAGGAGGGGGAGGAGGAGGAGGAGGAGGAGGAGGAGGAGGAGGAGGAGGAGGAGGAGGAGGAGGAGGATCGCACGCCACTGAGGGGAGAAAGAGAGAGAGAGAGAGAAAGTCCGACGGTCAGCCGAAAACCCCAGGGGGGTTCCATCCGAGAGGAACTTTTTGCCCCCCTGGCAGGAAGGCCGAAGACCTGCCGGGGGCCAGCGACAGGAACCCCCTTAGGAAAAAAGCTCGCCGTCTTCGTCGTGGGGCATGTCTTCCTGCCCTTTACTCTTCAACAGGGCTCCCAGCTCTCGGGCTTCGCCTTCGTTCAAACCGAACGCTTGGAGGCAGTCAGCCAGGCACAAGTCTCGAGGCCCCGCAACAAACTGAGCAGCCACGTACCGGAGGAGGAGGAGGAGGAGGAGGAGGAGGAGGAGGAGGAGGAGGAGGAGGAGAGGAGACAAGACAAAACGTCACAGTGGAGCTCTGAATCCATAATCTCGCGAACTCGAAAAAGCTCTGTTTGCTGCTTCGGCAGCCACACCTCGCTTGCAGACGCAGGTGGCCTGTCGGAAGCCACCCGCGCGGCCAAATGCTGGGCGGCCCACCTATCTAGGCGCGCGGCCTGGGGGGGGCCCAGCCATCGGGGAAGGGAGGAGGGAGAGGAGGAGGTAAACTTACGTCGGGCGTGCACCTCCACAGGAGGAAGATTCCCAAGTAGTCAAAAGAAGTATGGGGGCGATTTGTTTTTCATTATTTGTTTGATTATGTTTGAATGTGTTTGGACTCTTTTTTGAACTTTTCATCCAAAATCCGCCTTTAGGGGGACATGCCCGACCTTAGGGTAAACGGTGATGAGGACTTGCTTCGCTGCGCCCGGGGGGGGGCGGCGGAAGAGGGATGGGGAAGGAGACGGGAAAATGGAGGATGAGGAGGATGAGGAGGAGGAGGAGGAGGAGGAGGAGGAGGAGGAGGAGGGAGAGGAGGAGGAGGAGAAGAAGGAGGAGGAGGAGACAAGACAAAACGTCACAGTGGAGCTCTGAATACATAATCTCGCGAACTCGAAAAAGCTCTGCACGCTGCTTCGGCAGCCACACCTCGCTTGCAGACGCAGGTGGCCTGTCGGAAGCCACCCGCGCGGCCCCATGCTGGGCGGCCCACCTATCTAGGCGCGCGGCCTGGGGGGGGCCCAGCCATCGGGGAAGGGAGGAGGGAGAGGAGGTAAACTTACGTCGGGCGTGCACCTCCACAGGAGGAAGATTCCCAAGTAGTCAAAAGAAGTATGGGGGCGATTTGTTTTTCATTATTTGTTTGATTATGTTTGAATGTGTTTGGACTCTTTTTAACTTTTCGTCCAAAATCCGCCTTTAGGGGGACATGCCCGACCTTAGGGTAAACGGTGATGAGGACTTGCTTCGCTGCGCCCGGGGGGGGCGGCGGAAGAGGGATGGGGAAGGAGACGGGAAAATGGAGGATGAGGAGGGGAGGAGACGAGGAGAAGAATGAATGGGCCCAGGGACACACGCAAATGAATAGACACAGCTCCCAGGATTTTCGATGTATTACTACATTTTCTGGACTGTCGTCTCTTTCTCCACTTCCCATAGTGTCAAATTTGTTTCTTCAGTGGCTCGACGATTAGTTGTGTCTGTGTGTTTCTTCCCCTCCTGAAAGAAGAGCGAATCAGGAATCAGGAGTGAGGAATCGGTTTGGGCCCGAAGACCGAGGTCCAGGAGGAGAAGAGACGGGGGATGATGGGGATGATGAGGAGAACAAAATGATGATGATGATGATGATGATGATGATGATGATGATGATGATGATGATGCTGATGATGATGATGATGATGATGATGATGATGATTATGATGGTGATGATGGTGATGATAATGCTGATAAAGACAATGATGAGGAGGAGAATCGAGGAAGGAAACAGAGGACGATGAGAGCGATGGGGGAGGAAGAGGAGGAGGCGGCGGGAAAGGAACAAGCTGTGCGCGAACGTGTGGATTTCGTTTGTTGATGATGTGATGGCGTGATCTTCTGCAGGTCCCTGCGCGGGCACGCCGGAAACTCGAGCTTGTTATCGGTTTGACAGCCCTGCGCATCCCCAGCCAGCCATGCACTATACCCCTGACAGCAAGCCAGGAGGCCATCAGCTCGGTCGAACCTCTTGCCCCAAACACTGTTTCCACGTAGGGGTTCTTACTTGTGGAATAAGGCAATGGCGGCGGCGACTACGGCAGGTTCGTGTCGTGCCGACCCCAGCGTTGGTTTTTGACACCGCAGGGATCGTTCAACCTTGAACGATCGGCCGCTGCCGCAACGTCCGATCGTTCAACATCGATCGATTCTGGGTCGCCGGCGGCGTTCAACCTTGAACGCCCGCGCTGGGGTCGCCGCTGGTCGACACGACGCAAACCTACCGTATGCAGCCGCCGTCGCCGCCTCGTCGCCGCCCGTCGTCCAGGCCTGTGCGTCGGTTTGGCGGCCTGGAGCCGCCATCGCCGACCCGTCGCCGCCCGCTCTCTGGGCTGGTGCGCCGGTCCGGCGGCCACGTGGCCGCCGTCGCCGCCCCGACGCCGCCTCGTCGCCGCCCGTCGCCTGGGCCCGTGCGTCGGTCCGGCGGCCACGTAGCCGCCGTCGCCGCCCCGTCTCCGCCCATCGTCTGGGGCTGCGTGTTGGCCCAGCGGCCATGTGGCCGCCGTCGGCGCTCCGTCACCTGCACCACATAGTTTGCACCGCGTGTCTTCGTTTTTTGTTTATGTATATATATATATATAACAAAACAAATGTTGGGATCGAACTCGCCCTGTGGGGTTATCGCTACCCTCTGGGACAATAGTATTACAGACGATTCTGCCCAATGTGACTTCAAATGAGACTTTGTACCGTACAAGCAAAACCGTTGGTCGCCCCCTCCACCGCTGTCAAATCGTACGGTGCGCGCACAATCACGTATCACATATAATCGGTTTCCGACAACCCTTTTGCAAACTCACGGGGCAACATCTACACGCGCGTGTCGTGCCGCGCGCTTGCAGAAACTTCCTCAACACCGTGAGCTTGTCAAGATTCCCAGATGACAAATCCCGAAAACACGTCCAAGATTGGTTTGGCACCCGCGCGCTGTTGCGAATTGTTGGACACCCACAAGTTTCCCAACATGTTCGCCAAAGGCGACCAACCGGGCTTCTCGCGCGCGCATGTCGAAAACGTATCAAACACCCTTGCGCGCTTACTGGGTGGCACGATCGGAATAATACCATGCGGGCCACTCCCGCCCGTTGGCCGCGCACGCGTGTCGAAACTCAGCTGATAATTTGATCGCTGATGCATGGAAGCAATCATCGTCACCGGCAGTATCAGCATCGGCATCGTCATTGGCCTTGCCGTCGTCGTCGTCGTCGTCGTCGTCACCAACATCGCTACTATCATCGTCGTGTCCGCCAGTGTCGACGTCACCATGATGCCACGCCCACTCGAATCACCGACTCGCACGAAAGTGCCCGCGCGTCAGCACGGCCTGCGGGGCGCGCTGGGGAGTCCCCAACGGTCAGCGCCACCACGGGCGCGTCGGTCGCGCTGGCCTGGTCGGCCGCTCTGCGAACGAGCTTGCGCGCGCCAGTGCGGCCGCAGCGACACGCCAACCAGCGTCACGCAGTCATCGCAATAGCCGCCGCAGTGGTTTTGCAATCCAGATGGCGGGTGGGTGGTTGGGATGATTGCCCGAGTACTGGAACTGACAGTTCCATTTTTTCGCAAACTGAGTTCTACAATTTTATAAGAAACACCCTTGACGATTGTGCCCCATCGCTCGCTCCAAATATGAATTCTCACTTTCATAGGGAGTGCCGTTATCGCTCCCCTTGTTCCCTATCACACAAAACTTTGCGCGCGCACCCGTTTCACACAATTCGCAGGTGTTCGGGATCCCCTTGCAACAAATACGTGACAAAACCCACACGCGCGCGTCGTCGCACGCGCATGCCGGAATTCTTCGAACACTTTCGGTCCCGTCCGGATTTCAAGACCGAGGACCCCGCAAACATATAACAAAAACACCATGCCCGTGCACCGTGGTTTTTTCCACAATTTTTGCGCACGCGCTCTTTACGAATTCTTCCCGAGACAACCGGCAAGAATTTTCAACGTTTTCCTCAAGCGCGACCACGCGGGCATCTATCGCGCGGGCATCGGAATCTTTCAAACGCCCTTGGAGCGCGTTTGTCTTATTTCCGGCGATAATGGGACTTATCAAAGGGGGGGGAGGGGCCAGCGGGGCGGTATAATGTAACACCTCGCCCCCGCCGCGCGCACGGCGGTAGTGCCCGGAGCGCACTGGGGGGGAAGGGGGCGGGGGAGGGGTCGGGGGCTATAATGCCCAGTATGCCCCAAGCTACCAAAAAAACACGCTCTTGCGCGCTAGGCGCAATTGCGGGGGGGGGGGGGCGCGATTCATGTCAGAGCACACCGCGCGGGCCACTGGAGCCCATCGGCCGCGCGCGCGCATGTCGAACTCATGCCAAAACCCCCCACGCCGACGCGCAGAAACCATCGTCGTTTGCGGCGCGGCCAGCATCGGCACCGACATTGGCCTTGCCTTCGTCATCGTCATCGTCGTCACCAACATCGCTACTATTAAATCGGGCTTGTCCCTCTACAGGAGGAATATTCAAAATCGTCAACAACGAGTACGGGATAAATTGTTTGACCAGTTTTTGAAGATGCGCATCCTTTTGGGTATTCTTAATTTTTCGGCCAACATCCCCCTTAGGGGGACATGCCCGACCGAACGTTACTATTATCATCGTGTCTGCCGTTGCTACCGCGCCCGCCGGAGTCACCGACTCGCACCGAAATGCACGCGCGCCAGGGCGGCCTGCGAGATGCGCGCTGGGACGCCCCGAACGGTTAGCGCCACCGCGGCCGCGTCGGTCACGCCAAACTAGCTGGCCGCTCTGAGCGCGAGCCTGCCCGCGCCAGCATCCCCGCAGAGATGCGCCACCCAGCGCCAAGCAAGTATCGCAATCGCCGCCACATCGGTTTTGCATACCAAGTTGCGGGTGGGTTGGCGGGACAATTGCGCGAGCAGTGTTGTTGACAACTCCAAGCTCGTCGAAATTAATTTCACCTCATAGACCGCACACCACATATTGCTCCACATATGTTGCACAACATAGGGTGCCCCACATAGATTGCACAACAAATATTACACAACGCCAATTGCACAACACAGGCTGCATGACATGGATCGCATCACATTGGTTGCGCCACGCAGTTAGTTTGCACATCGTAGACTGCACAACGTAGATTGTACAACATAACTTGCACCACGCAAGTTGCACCGCGCAGACTGCTCCACATCGAAGGCACCACATAGATTGCTCCACATAATTAGGTAGCACCACATGGAGTGCTCAAGACACACCGTTTTGGGCCCACGCTGGTTAACTCTGACATCAAAGAAGTGGCAGGCCCCTGAATGCAAAGCGGGTCATGGACCCCGGGGCCTTCCCGTGGGGCCAAGCCCTTCCCCGTGCTTCCCTCCTGACGCTCCTGGGGCCCATGGATGGCCCCGAGCGCAGCCCGCACGCGTCAACAAAAGAACCCAGGACCCCTTGCCCTCAGCACCCCCGCAGGACCCCTTCCGGCGGCGCGCCCGGGGGACGCGCGAAGGGGCAGGCCTCCTCGGGCGGCGGGGCTCCTCAGAAGCCCTCGCGCCTCGTGACAGGCCAGAGGGCTCCAAAGGGTTTTTTGGGGGGAGGGGGTTCTCCAGACAGCGCCCCAAGGGCCTCGGAACCTTGTCGAAAGAGGAGGTGCGACGCCCCTGGGGGGCCCCTCCTGGAAAACCTCCTCCCCCCCAACCCCCACTGGAACCATCCGAACAGGTGTCCTCGCGCCTTTTTTTCACCCGCCAAGGCAAATCCGCTTCCCCTCATGGGGGCTATACCCGTCCACAACAAAGAACGATCGTGCTCGAGTGGCCGGCCGGGCTAATGTCACCGCATTCTCGGCGATCGGCACGCTCAGTTAAAAGGGCCCCGTGTCTTCGGGGAACGCCTCGGGAAGTTCCCCACCAGACCGCAAGCCGTCCGAGCCCTCCGAGGAGGCCTGCACCTTCTCGCCTTTCCCCCCGGGGGGCGCAACGCCGACCCCTCTCCTTCACGGCGTGGACCGCCAGGGCCGCGTCCTTCGGTCGCAACCCATGGGGGCCTCCCAGACCATCTCGCCGGCTCTTGCGAATCGACGCTCGTCGACGCCAAATCGATGCCAAATCGACGCTGGCCAACGCCAAACTGGCGCAACCTCGTCTACTCCCAGACGCCACTCGACGCCAGTCGACGCCAAGGTTAGGTCGGGCATACTTCGGACGAAAAATGAAAATACCCGACAAACGCTCAAACCTTGCCAAAAACATATAAAAAATCGTCCCCCGACCATTTCTGGACTATTCTTGAATATTCCTCCCGCAGATGGACATGCACGACTGGACGCTAAAGATGGACCTGAAGTGGGCATACCAGGCTCCTATTGATGTGCGACCGAACCTTCGCCTGTCGCCTGAGGAGGGGACAGGAGGAGGAGGAGGAGGAGCAGGAGCAGGAGGAGGAGGAGGAGGAGGAGGAGGAGGAGGAGGAGGAGGAGGAGGAGGAGGAGGAGGAGGAGGGGGGGAGGAGGAGGGGAGGAGGAGGAGGAGGAGGAGGAGGAGGAGGCGGAGGAGGAGGAGAGGAGGAGGAGGAGGGGAGGAGGAGGAGGAGGAGGAGGAGGAGGAGGAGGAGGAGGGGAGGAGGGAAAGGGAGGAGGGAGGAGGGTAAAGGAAGGAGGAGGAGGAGGAGGAGGAGAGGAGGAGGATGAGGGCAGGAGAGTAGGAGGGAGGAGGGGAAGGAGGAGGAGGAGGAGGAGGGGGAGGGGGGGGAGGAGAAGGAGGAGGAGAAGAAGGAGGAGGAGGGGAAGGGGGAGGGGGGGAGGGGGAGGAGGAGGAGGAGGAGGAGGAGGAGGAGAGAGCAGCAGGAGGAGGAACGGGAGGAGGAGGAGGAGGAGGAGGAGGAGGAGGAGGAGGAGGAGGAGGAGGAGGAGGAGGAGCCCTCCCTGCCGCCCCTCGTCGCCTGCGCCACGAGCGACGCCGTGGAGCTCGGCGCCGTGGAGTTCGGCGCCGTCGCGTCCTGCGGGCGGCGGCGGGGGGGCAGCGCCGCCGGTGCAAGCCACGCGCGGCGAGCACACGCCTCGGGGGGGCGCCCGGGAGCGGGGCGACCTGCGTGGAGTCAGGTTTAGTTGGCGGCGCGCACAAGGGGGTGGAGGGAGGGGGGAGGGCTTTTAAAGGGAGGCCGCTTCTTAGAAGGCGCCGGCCTTGCATCTGCAGATCAGGCCCGCGCCTTCTAAGAAGCAGGGGTGCTTCTAAGAAGCCCTCCCCCCTCCCCCCACCCCCCTCTGCGCGTGGCTGGTTTAGGTCGGGCAGGTCCCCCTACAGGGGGATTCTTAGAGGGCAGAAAGTCCACCCCGAGAATAACCACCCCGACGGGCGAGGCCGTGTAGAGAACGCATCCAGAGAAGGAATCAAACAGGGCGGGGCTGTTTAGCAAAGGCCCAAGGCCGTTTAGTAAACGCAGATTGTCTGGTCCGGGTGGTTTCTCCTCCATTGAATCTTGGACAGAAATTGATAATCCCCCAGAAGTACTCCAAAAATAACCAAACCATATTTTCACAAAACGGCCTGCGTGGAGTTAGGTTTAGGCCGGGCATGTCCCCTTACAGGCGGATCTTGGACAAAAAATAAAAAATCCCCCAAAGTACTCCAAACATAACCAAATATTGATATTCACCTAAACGACCTGCGTGGAGTTAGGTTTAGGTCGGGCATGTCCCCCTACAGGGGGATTTTGGACAACAAATTGAAAATAGTCAACAGCTACCCGAAAGTAAGCAAAACATGCTCAACAAAAATCGTCCCCGGACTATTTGTACTATTTTTGAACATTTCTTCTGTAGAAGGACGGGCCCGATTTACAGTTAGGTCGGGCATGTCCTCCTACAGGCAGATTTTGGACGACAAATGGAAGAATAGTCAAACATTAGCCTGACGAAAGACCCAATCATGTGCAACTGCGAATGCCGCATTGTGGGTACCGATTCTGGTGGAGCTCCATATGGGGCCACGAACCGTGTGAGGGGCGTGCCGAATGGGGCGCGGTGGTGCCATGCGAACCTTCCCAGTGGAGCCTTCGGTGGAGCATCCTGTGGGGCCACGAGACGTGTGAGGGGGTGTACCGAATTGGGTACGGTGGTGACATGCGAGCCATGCGAACCCTCCCACTAAAGCATTCGGCGGAGCTCCCTATGCGGCCACGAACAGTGTGAGGGGTGCGCCTGATTGGGCGCCGTGGTGTCATGCGAGCCCTCCCACTTGGGCCTTGGGTGGAACTCCCTATGGGCCACAAACCGTGTGAGGGGTGTGCCAAAATGGGTGCGGTGGTGCCGTGCGAGCCCTCCCACTGGAACCTGCGGTAAAACTCCCTAAGGGACCAAGAGCCGTGTGAGGGGTGTGCCGAAATGGGCATGCGGTGGGCGGGGAGGGCGCATGCGGACGCGGCCACTGGGGCCTTCGGTGGAGCTCCCTATGGGACCGCGAACCGTGTGAGGGGTGTGCCGAAATGGGCATGCGGTGGGCGGGGTGGACGCATGTGAACGCGGCCATTGGGGCCTTGGGTGGAACTCCCTATGGGGCCACGAACCCTCTGAGGGGTGAACCGAAATGGGCATGCGGTGGACTGGGTGGGCGCATGTGAACGCGCTCACTGGAGCCTTGGGTGTAACTCCCTAAAGGGCCGAGAGCTGTGTGACGGGTGTGCCGAAATGGGCATGCGCTGGGCGGGGAAGACGCATGCGGACGCGGCCACTGGGGCCTTCGGTGGAGCTCCCTATGGGGCCACGGACCGTGTGAGGGGTGTGCCGAAATGGGCATGCGGTGGGCGGGGAGGGCGCATGCGGACGCGGTCACTGGGGCCTTGGGTGGAGCTCCCTATGGGACCGCGAACCGTGTGAGGGGTGTGCCGACATGGGCATGCGGTGGGCGGGGTGGACGCATGTGAACGCGGCCGCTGGGGCCTTGGGTGGAGCTCCCTTAGCTAAGGGGCCACGACCGTGTGAGGGTGTGCCGATATGGTCATCGCCTCGGGGTGGACGCATGTGGACGCGGCCACTGGGGCAATCGGTGGAGCTCCCTGCGGGGCCACGGACCGTGCGAGAGGTGCGCCGATATGGGCATGCGGTGGGCGGGGAAGACGCATGTGAACGCGGCCACTGAAGCCTTGGGTGGAGCTCCCTATGGGGCCACGAACCGTGTGAGGGGTGTGCCGAAATGGGCATGCGGTGGGCGGGGTGGACACATGTGGACGCGGTCACTGGGGCCTTGAGTGGAGCTCCCTAAAGGGCCAAGAGCCGTGTGAGGGGTGTGCCGAAATGGGCATGCGGTGGGCGGGGCGGACGCATGTGAGCGCGGCCACTGGGGCCCTGGGGCCTTGGGTGGAGCTCCCTATGGGGGCACGAACCGTGTGAGGGGTGTGCCAATATGGACATGCGGAGGGCAGAGTGCCGCAATAGACATGCGGAGGGCAGAGGCACGCATGGGAGGAGGGAGGAGGGGGAGGAGGAGAGGAGGATGAAAACGCGGGTCGCCGTCTCTTCAAAACGCGGACCCGACACAGGATGGTTGGGAATAGCCGAAGCTACTCAACAGTAGTAGAAACATCGTCCCCAGACTATTTCTTCACTATCTTAACGATGTTCCCCCTACAGCAGGACATGCCCGACTTGAACGTAGAGGGGTGGTCACACACTGCGGCCCGAGGCGTGTGGCGGACGAGGGGGGGCAGGCGACGGCTAGAAGCAGGAATCATCCACACGCAAGAGCGACCCTGGGTAAGGTTAGGTCGGGCATGTCCCCCTACAGGAGGATTCCGGAGGACAAATCAACAGTAGTCAGAAAATGCCCAAGCATAGTCAAAACAGATGAGAAAAATCGTCCCCTGGCTATCTTTTGACTATTTTGGAATTTTCATCCTGCAGAAGGGAATGCCCGACGACATTGACCTTTGCTGCGCGGCTTTTTGGGGGGCGCGCGGGGGGGATCCGAGCACAGGCGCGCAAGACGCTGCTATCGCATGGCATTCTGCCATCTGGAGGCCCCAGTTGGGCGCCCGAGTTAACCGGGGCAACTCGGGCCTGGGGTATCTCGGTTTTGGAATCCAGAAAATCGAACCCGAGTGAGCCCTGACCCGAATTACCCCTGATGATCTGGGGCTCTGGACGCCGAACTATCCGGGGCACTCGAGCGCAGTGTAACTCGGGTCCGGATTCCCGAAAAACGAACCCGAGCTAGCCCTGACCCGAGCTACCCCTGATGGTTCGGGGCTCTGACCCGGAGTGCCCGCACCAGAGATCACTCCAGCGAACGGTCACTCCTGCGCGTAGTACCGAAAGAAGAGGGGGCCATGGATCCCAAGGAGATTTCACGACCCTGGTCATGATAAGCCCCACGATCATCAACCCCCTCCCAAGACAGGCTCGCATCGAATCGCGAGGCCGGATCGCAATCGAAACCAAAAGCCGGATCTGCAGAAGTCGGCGCCCAAATCGGAAAAAACACGCATCGGCTCGGAAATCGGAAACCAACGATCGAATCGGAATCGGATCGGAAAATGTTGTCGGAGTCGGAGCGGAAAATTCTGTCGGGCCAGGAGGCTCCTTCCTGGCCGCCCCCAGATATCGAT